CCTACACCTGACCGAGTCCCTTCGCCATGGGAAAGTGAACCAGATGAGGCAGGAGGCGGCAGCGGCCGCTGCTGCTGTCTCTTCCGAATCCAGCACTCCCTTCAGCAGACCTCAATGTTCGGATGCGCAACGGAACTGCCGGACCCAGATAACGAGCGTTGTTCGACACGACTTGTCTGCCTTGGGCACCTGTTGATGTTGCAATGCACCTCAGACTGAGCGCCTTCAACTTCGATGCCAGCCAGGTTGCTTTTCATGTAAGGACTCTGCTGAGCCAACTTGAGATAAGCCTGCTGCTTCCTTATGTGCGCAAAGCACGGCAACGATGTGGAGCGCTGCAACCGAAATCCTTAGCCTTGAACCGCCCCCAACGCCAAGGCTCTGCTCTGGGTCATCCTTGTAGAGGTCGTTCATCTGAGCCAAGAGTTGCTTGCATTGGTTGCGTGTTGCTTTGCATGGTCGATGTCTTCCACGTCGCGCGTCCTGGGACAGTCTTGAACAAATTCTGTAACGTCTCCCCCCCTTCTTCAAGTGCTCCAGCTCCCCCAAGCAGATCTGGCTTGAAAAACACACTCGGTCTATGCTCGGGCTTTCAGACCCGAAACGGCCATATGTCGCGCATGATTCTCTTTCTCGCCGCTGCCCGGCCAGTTGGGTGGCTGGTTTGTGATCGTGCTGCTGTTGCCCTAAACCCTAAACCCTAAACCCTAAACCCTAAACCCTAAACCCTAAACCCTAAACCCTAAACCCTAAACCCTAAACCCTAAACCCTAAACCTGTGCAGAGGCGTTCTGCTTCTTTTGCTGTGTCGCGCTGTTACCAATGGGCGATTCGGGTGATGTCAGCTTCAGCCCAAAGTGTTCAGCAGGTGTCGTATTCATGACATGGGGGTTTCCCAAATTCAGGGGTACCTTGTTGGGGTCCTTATCGTAAGGGAATCCCTACCCGACGTAGATTTCAAGCTCACCCTTCAATTCCAAGACCCCTGTCCTCTCCGTGTTCCAGATGACAAAACCTGCATGCCTCCGCGTGCTTGCAACCAGCCCGTGTTGTGAAGTGGATGCATGGAGTACACTTTCCATTCTCCTTGGCTCCAGAGAATAACTTCCTCGAAATACCTGCATGAACAACAAGTCCGCACAACCTCCCACTCTCCGGTAGGATGCGCGAGCTTCCGGTGCAAATCATCTCCGGTGATCACTGCAAGAAGGACTTGAGACTGCACACATGTAAAACTGAAGCGCGTCCAAGGGTGCATGATTGGCACTACCCTGCGACCATCCATACCTGCGCAGAGACAAGGGGCGATGGCCTGTCATAAGTCGTTGCCTTTAGGCTTGAAGGCACTTCTATGAATCACAGGCTGCAGCGGTATAGACATGTCGTCTTTGCGCATGTCATTGCCACCAAGGAACACGATCTCGGGAGGTGGGCCATCATCGCTCAGCATCGGATCCGATTGTGTAAGTTCCTCATCATCACAAGGGAGAAGCATCTCATGGCTTCTCGGCATGAGAGGCCAAACTCGTATTCTTAACACGCATGAGAATGTGGACGATCATATACAAGGCAAAAAGTAATGGGAATGACAACAATAGTAATGGTAGTGGTAGAAACGGTCAAAGCGTAACCCGGAATAGGAGTAATTGCAGGAATGGCAGTAACAGCAGTGATCACCCTAAACCCTAAACCCTAAACCCTAAACCTTAAACCCTAAGCCCTAAACCCTAAACCCTCAAGGCAAGGAGAAATAGAAATTGTACGCGTTTCGTTGCGAGCAGCTCGCGCAGTAATCCGTCATCCTTCACAATGAAAAAAAAACCAACAAAAGCATGGCTTTCAGGGCGCCAAAAAAGACCCTGGAAAGAAATCCCCGAAAGATGCTGCCGGCCCCCCTTTAGGCCCCTAACACCCCCCAAAGAACCGGAGCTCGGACCTGCTCAGGCCTGCCCAGCAGGAATATCCTCTACCTTTATCAAGGGGGTCCGGAGCCGAGACCTGCTCAGGCCTGCCCAGTACGCCCAAACGCTTGTTCCATCATTCAATTTTGTTCGGGCTCTCCAACTTTTTTGTGCAAGGCCTCTCCAAGTCTGGAAAGCCACTATGCAATTTCTATATACCCTAAACCCTAAACCCTGAACCCTAGACCCTAAGATACCAAGGCTCCCGTATCTTCGCCTGTACGGCAGCCACCTTCTCTAGGCGTATCTGCTCGTCCATGTAAGATCGGCCGTGGGCTGTAGAAGCAGCTGGCACAGGGCATGCATTAGGGTTTAGGGTTTGGGGGTTGGGGTTTGGGGTTTGGGGTTTGGGGTTTGGGGTTTGGGGTTTAGGGTTTAGGGTTTAGGGTTTTACTAGCTGGCAGAAGAGGTTATCTTGAACTCCAGGGTAACGACTTGCCCATACTATGGGCAAGAATTCTTTCGATGTATACTGAATTTCTGATGCGCCCGTCCAGCCTGACTCTGACGTTGTTTCTGAGGAGTCATGCCATACCTGAGGCACTACAGCCGGCGGGCTGTGAATGCCGAAGCCTGCTGCAATCATGCGGTTCTGTACGCGAATGCAGCTAGGAAGCGACATGCTCGGGACGTAGTTGCGGCTGCTGTGGGACCAAGAAGTCATCCACGCTGGAAGGGTCCACATCGCTACTGGATGAGGCGCTCCAACCTGAATTCAAGTTCCTAATCTTAGGTGTTCAGGGTTCAGGGTTTAGGGTTTAGGGTTGAGAGACAAGCTCGGGCGCCGGCTGTTAGATCTCTTCAGCATCTGCTTCTGATCCAGGTCATCTTGGTCCTGCCCAAAGCCCAATACACCCTAAACCCTAAACACCACACCAAAACAAACCCATAAATATGTGCATACATCGAATATGTTTTGTGGTAATTACTACGTGCCAACCCCCATACTCCCGCAACACCGCATACTATGTGATCGTAATGACCAGAAGACTTACGTAGCAGTGAGAGATGCACTTCCCGTGGAGGACACCCTTCCCAACGAATATCGTCAGATCTTCACTTCTTGCCCGGCCCTCGCGGCATGCCAATTCAGCCAAACAAGACCCTAAACCCTAAAAGCCTTGACCCTAAACCCAAGGGAAAAAAACCTCTGCGCATCGCAGCCCATGCGCCCGCTCAGGAGTTTTCGCGAAGGCCAGCTACGATTGTTCTGGTCGGGCTTTAACAGAATGCATCAACAGCCGCTGGACGTATCCAAAGACCAACTCAAGTTCAGCAGCCACCCCCCAAACCCTAAACCCTAAGCCCTAAACCCTAAACCCTAAGCCCTAAGCCCTAAGCCCTAAACCGCAGCTTGTGGGTGGCCGCATCCAACATCCGGCCTGAATCTCCAGGAAGGTGTTGCGGACAAAAATGCGGTGATCACCTTCGCTGCGACGTCAAGCTGCTGACCAGGGTTTAGGGTTTAGGGTTTAGGGCTTAGGGTTTAGGGTTTAGGGTTTAGGGTTTCGGGTTTATAATGTAGACACGCATGCCTTTTTTTGAGCACACTCGTGCTCATTCGCTCAAGTTGCAGCCAGCATCTTCTCCCGACCCAACTGACATCCGTTGACACAGCGACCTGCCTTCCAGCGTCTGCAGCGGCTGCAGCGTTTCCATGCCCTGAGCCTGAGCAATGTTACTGTTGGTTGTATGAGGGCCCTATATATACCCTTTAAGGGATTGTATAGGGTACCTTATTTCCCCATTCCCTACTATCCAACAGTAAGCAACGAGAAGCGTGTGTTGGTCCCAGACCACTTCATGTCAGGGCTGTTGCTTAGCAGGAGCTTTGGGTTTACGGTTTAGGGTTAGGGGTTTAGGGTTTAGGGTTAGGGTTTAGGGTTTAGGGTTTAGGGTCTAGGCTCTAGGCTCTAGGCTCTAGGCTCTAGGGTCTAGGGTCTAGGGTCTAGGGTCTAGGGTCTAGGGTCTAGGGTCTAGGGTCTAGGTCTAGGCTCTAGGGTCTGGGGTCTAGGGTCTAGGGTCTAGGGTCTAGGGTCTAGGGTCTAGAGTCTAGGGTCTAGGGTCTAGGGTTCAGGGTTCAGGGTTCAGGGTTCAGGGTTCAGGGTTCAGGGTTCAGGGTTCAGGGTTCAGGGTTCAGGGTTCAGGGTTCAGGGTTTAGGGTTTAGGGTTTAGGGTTTAGGGTTTAGGGTTTAGGGTTTAGGGTTTAGGGGGCATTGTTGGCATGTGCTGGGTCGCATCTTTGCGCGCCTGATGCCGCCACGAGGAGGCGCCAGATGAAAAGCTTGAAATCTCTCTTTGATCTCAAGAGCTGTTTTTTTCACTGCAGGTACTGCTATAGCGAATCAACAGCTTTGCCACACATACAGTACCTATCAGTAACCATCGTCAAACATCTTCAATTGGAGTTACCATATGTTCACTCCTCTTGACGCAGCGGGGGCGTTCTCAGCACTGGCCATGCCTGCTTCTTAGCACAACTTCATGCAACATCGAGGAGCGCCGGTGCTCGCAAGGGCCCCCCTTTCTCTTCAAAGATCAGGCAGCGCAGGTCCGCGTGGGGAGACCCCAGGATGCCCTGTTGTGGCAGGTGTGACGACTTTGGCCTGACTGCAGGGGCTCTTGCCAACTTTGTGCTGAAGATCTGCCAACCTCTCCATACTTTACATTCATTACATGGGGGTGTACGAAAGTAGGGGACCCCTAAACTCTAAACCCTAAACCCTAAACCCTAAAGCTTGAACTGGTAACTAGGCAAGGCCCCTTTTCGCGCAATCAGCTCTCAGGGGTTCTGGGTCAAAGGCTATCGGCCTGAGCCCTGAGAGGCTACAAGAACCTTAAGTTACCCAAATGGAATAGACGTAGACATAGACATAGACATATACATATACCAATACCACAGAGTATAGTGGAATATAACAAAATATACGTGTGTGTAAGATTGTAAAATATTATGTCATATAGTATAATATAGTATAATATAGTATAATATAGTATAATATAGTATAATATAGTATAATATAGTATAATATAGAATAAAATAGGATAATATAGTATATAGTATAATATAGTATAATATAGTATAATATAGTATAATATAGTATAATATAGTATAATATAGTATAATATAGTATAATATAGTATAATATAGTATAATATAATATTACATTATATCATACTATATTATATGAGAACAAAATGTACTATTCATCTTATCTTATCTTGTTTCTAAGCTATATATAAACAAAACAGTCTGTATATGCATATTTTTTAGATCTCCCGCCAAGAAGCGGCTCAGTGGCTCAGGCAACATTCACATGTCACTTCAGGAGCTTCCGCGCCTAAGGGGACAGCCGATCCTCCGAGTTGGAACCTCGACGTCCCCGAAGACACCAGCTGCTGGGACTTCTGCCGTGCTATGCAAGGGGGCTGCGTTTCGCCACCCCTACCAGAAAGCCTGTTGCCAAAAGCCACCACTGTGCAGCTCCTGCTTAAGTAGCATTGCTGCTGTCGCAGCCAGTGGCCAGTGTGAACTTGTGAACTGTGGCGCGGTTCTTAGGAACACTGGCAAGCGACAGTGGCTGGGCAAGGGATCTGTCCGATGGCCGGGCGCTTAAAGTATGTCAAAAACTGGTGAGCGCATGGTCTGCATCTCCTTCTTTAAAGACTCTCTCTTTTGGAGATGCATCTGCCATCATCTCTTTACACAGGCCCACTGCCCTGGTTTATGGGCAGAGCTTCTCTCTGCGATGAGGGATGGTACATGCACCGCGGACTGCCAGTGAAATTTGCAGCCGCAGCACACAACACGAGCTAAGAAAAAAAACAGACGCCAATGAGCCACAATTCTGCAAAAAGCCTTGTGTGGTGAACTCCTTAGGCTGCATCGGCGATCTGAACTCGGGTGGTCCACTGGTCAAGCAAAGCATTTTATTGACATCTCATTGACTTTGAAGCCAAGCAAACAAGGCCCTTGCAATCACCACAACTCGCTCGACCAGCCCGAAGCGTAAGATGCTCTGTCACCGCTGCCGCTCTCTGTACACAGCGTGATAGCGTTTCGGATGGGCCTGGGCAACTCTAGAGTGGTTCGCAGATGTAAAGGCATCTCGCCTTCACGTCTCTTCGGCGAAAGGTCTGCAGGGATGTGGGCAGGTAGAAGGTAGAAGGAGCCTGTGTCAAACCCCACGTGGTAGGGCCATCGTCTTGCAGTCTTGCATAAATTCTGGTACCATTCGCATTGCGAATTCTTGAGCTACCTGCTCCGACAATTTGCAAACCTGATCGAGCTAACTCTACATCCCCAGCAGGACACTCCTGGTCCTTTCGATTGGAGGGCAAGCTAGTGTTGAGGCTGGGAAGGCAGGCGACTACGCTTGCATAAGAAATCCGCAGCACTGCACACCACAGCACGCGAGACGGCGCTGCACAACCTTCCCCTTTCTCATGAGGGTCAGACACAAGGAAACGACTTGCTTGCTGGGTGGTTCTGTGCTGCTTCGTAGTGCCTGCACGCTGGCTAAGCTGAAGGCCAAGCTCAAGACAGATCTGGTTAGCACCGGGAGCCATCCGCCGTTCGAAAGTCCTACACGCCATCAGCAAGAACTGCTTGGCTGGATTGCAGAAACACAGGCCAGATGGCTCCTGTCGTTCAAACAGAAACGTTCGCGCTCTAAGAGTGCATGCCATACCCAAAGAAACACGGGTAAACCGCCATATGTCGGTGCTTCAGGGGTTGCAAACTGCACATGGGACAGGTAGACTGAAACGACGCTTAAGTAAGCGGATGCCTCAGGACATGCGTGCATCGGAGTGGGCATGGTACAGGGTCGTGCGGCATCTCTCTCTTAAAGGCCAAAGGCTGCGCTCAGCAAAGGAACCTCTGCAGGAAGCACGAACTGGTGGGAGTGCTTCTGGTTGCTTGTGTGACTGTCAGCAGCATCACAGCTTCATTGACATGGGGGTTTACGAAAACAGGGGGACCCTTAATTGAATAGACCCCCAATAGTAGGATCCCCTGAGAATGGAACCAGTACAGTAACCCCCTAATTTCGGAAGCCCCCACATCCTAGCGCGGGCTTCATGCCGAGGTTGGTGCAGTACAGTGTTCTGCGGCGCGCGACAGGTGCGCGGCAACCTCAGTGTCTTATACATTGCCGATACATAAGCATAGGCTCATATAGGCTCCACAAGCGCGTGTTTTTGGTCAGACCTTCTTGGGCACCCCGCGTGCAGAAGTTGGGCTTCTCCGAGCAGACATCATCTCAGTCAGATACGGGCAGTCTCTCGAAGCACTGACACCTAAACCCTAAACCCTAAACCCTAAAATCGGGCCGGGGAGGCGGTGGTGCAACAAAATTCCTTAAACCCCCGTGATGGGGTGAGACCCCCAGAATCTGCCCGCTCTCTGCCCCAAGCTTCATTCGGCAGCAAGCATACGAGCACACATAGTAGGTGCAAAGAAGATTTTGCACGGCCTGCTGACTCCCCCAAGCTCAGTTACACTGAGGGTTCAAGGTTCGGGTTCAGGGGTGGGCTGCTCTCCGGCATCTTCTTCCTCGACCACCGGTCGCGTTCCATATCTGCAGGCCCGACGGCGGACTGGAATCTCCCGAGGCTTAGACTGCCCATGTGCACGTCCAGTGGGGGCGCGCGCAAGCGTTTGCAATGAAAGAACCACTTGGAGCCGCAACAAACATGTAAGGGGTTTCGGGTCTTTAGAAACGCTGCAGCTCTGTCTTCTGGCTGCTGCTGCTGCCTGCTTCTTTTGGCTGCAAAGCCCCAAGCTCAAAGCTCCAAGCGAAGTGGAGCGAAGTCTTGCTGCAGAACTGCAAAGGACTGCAGCGTGAAGGGTGTTAAATATTCAGCATGAGGTTTAGGGTTTCTAGGGGTCCGAAACCCCCCACAACATAACTAGTGGAGTCCCCACCCCTCTCCCTCCCCCATCAGAAAGGTTAGCAAGCCTGGTTCTTGTGAGTTTGAGGCTGCAGCTTGAAACCCCGCTAGCAGGATCGGTAGCCCGATCATTTCTTGCTGATCTACCCCTTTCAAGGCCCCAATCGCAAACACCACGAGGAGAAAAGGAAGAGAGTAGAAGGAATGGAGGAGACTCCCAACCCCTCCTTCCGGTCCAACACTCCAGGGGGCTGTTTCAAAATTCCTGATCTGAAGGTTAGAATGAAGTATGGACGACGGTTGAAGCCAAGTCCCTCACAATCTTGGCAGCAGCTCAATCCTCATAGCCTCAGCTGAACAAGCTTGTCGTGCCAGCGTGCCCACTAGCAGCCACTAAATCCCAACCTCAACAACCACCGCAACCAGCAACCAACACCTGAAGGAATGAGAGGCTCGAATGAAACCAATCATCCATGACACCGCATGCGTTCAATCCACAGTCCCTTGATGCGAGTGGCCGATCTGTCAACTTTTCCGCAAAGCGAGTTGGTCAGGACAATCCGGGCGACACGCAAACATGAGGCCGTCATGATGGCATGCTGTGGATCAAATCGCAGCCAACACCCCCGCGACGACGACAACAAAACAACGACAACGACTACACGCAACGACAACGACAACAACGACAGACAAACAAACAACAATAAACGACAAGCTCACAAATAAACACCGCGGACACACACACACACACACAAAGAAGAAGAAGAAGAAGAAGGAAGAAGACCCAACAACAACAACAACAACAACAACAACAACAACAAGAAGAAGCATCCAGCCAAACGAAAACACCTTAGACCCTGAACCCTGAACCCTTTTTGCAACTGGCTTGCAAAGTCACTGAACCCTGAACCCTAAGCCCGAAACCCTAGACCCTAAACCCTAGACCCTAAGACTAGTAAACATCCGGTACGCTGTACACTCTGTCTTCGGCGCAGGGGCTTTCGGGAGCAGCAGCCTGAAGGCGAGCCGCAAGCTCGGCACCTCTTGAGTTGCACTTACTTGCATGCAAAGAGCCTGTTAGCGTATTGAAAGTTATCTGCATGTGTAGATATATACATGGTTACTAGTTACTCGTGTTTTAGACATTATCTGTATATAAAAGTATGTATATATATATAAGTATATATGTGTGTATATATATACATATACATGGAGGACATCGACAATGAAGAAAACAGTTGTCATGATGATACAACAAGATGGTTCGCTATTGTTTGCCTCTGATTAGTCTAGACGTCATGCAATGATCCGGGTGCGACCCCCCCCCCCCCCCCCCCCTATAGTGTCGCCCCCCGCCCCCCCCCCCCCCCCCCCCCCCCCCCGCGCCCCCTTCCTTGTGCTTGTGGTGTGGTTTACCGGGGTTGGGGAGCTTCTGTCACAAAGCCTGGAAGTCCTCAGCAAGGCCCTGTACCCTCGGAGTTGGGAAAAAGTGGCCACTTGTAAGAGTAATCATGTTTAGATGTTGATGACTCGCAGGAGGTCCCAGGCAGGTCCCAGAAAGGTCCAAATCGGGCCCCCAAGGCCTGGGGGACCCAGGCTGGGCTTGAGTGTAGGGTTGAGGTTTGAGGTTTGGTTTAGGGTTAGCGGGAGAGGGGGGAAACATATCTATATACATATACATATACATATACATATACATATACATATACATATACATATACATATACATAAACATATACATATACATACATATATATATATATGCTTCCGGCCTGTCGTCGGGGGCTATATAACGGCATGAAACGTCATGCAACATAGATGTTGCGAGGTATTTTATGATATCACGTTGCTTCTGCATACTACCCCAACAATCCCGACAGAGATGCAGAGACGCATGCACCATGCAGTGCTTCCACGGCAGACAGGCAACTGGACAGAACCGAACCTACTTTCGGGGCCTGATACGTGGTTCTGGCCAAGGAATACGCGAAGCGCGTCAGCCGGCCCAGCGACAGGACCTCACCGTCACGAGGATCTACGGCTCATCACAAGATTCTACAGTCGAGCCTTGATCCTTTGGAACTCAGCCCATAGGGAGAGAATGCTCTGAAATTGGCAGATGCTGCTGCATTTCCATGCTCACGCGGATCTGCAAGTAGGGTGCTGGGAAGCATGCTCCATGGGCCTCCCATCACCGTCGGCGTTCCTGCGGAGGCGGGTGTGGCTGTGTTTCGTACGGGTGCAGACAGCGTTTTCCCACCCTGAGAGCAATGGCCTTGAACTTTTGGGAATGTAAATGTGTGATAACAAGTTCTTGCTCTCTCTTGGCACTGTGCTTCTTCCAACGCAGATGCGTGAACCCGCATGGAGGATCTGGATCTTGCACTCAGGTCTATAATATAGCGGTGGTGCAAACAACTTCCAGCGCAGGTGCACGGATGGCAGCGAGTTGCACTTGCAGCGGTTAAGATTTTTGCAAGGGCTTGGGGGGTTTGGTTTAGGGTTTAGGGTTGAGGGTTGAGGGTTTCGGAACACCTCCCACATTGAGATCCACTCACCGCTACGTTTCTGAGGCAAAACATACGGTGCCTGGGCAAGGCATGGATCCGCCAGGTGTGAACCTGGGTGCTTCCACCATGCACCATGCTCTGGCTCTGTCCCCAAAAAAACCATTGCCTAAACCCTAAACCCTAAACCCCAAACCCCAAACCCTAAACCCTAAACCCCTCTCTCTTTGCAGGCAAGCGGCTGGGGCAAGCAAGAAGATGGGGTCTCCTTGGCTTGCTTGTTGGCATCTGGCCTGACCAGCGACAGTTCTTACTTCTTTCCACACATCGTGCGAAGCGCCCAGAAAACCGCACAGAAAAGCGAAAGCCGCGACCCACGGGTGACAACCTGTGAGGTGTGATGCGTTGTAAGGCGGGCACCACGGCATGTGGCAAGCCATGGGTGTGTTGGCCGGGGCCATTGGGGAGTTGGCAGGAGCCATTGGCGTGTTCGCTGGTGTTCGACAGGACCTGACCAGTGTCGTGGTTTAGGGCTTATAGGGTCTAGGGAGCACGAAACACGAAAGCAAACCCCTCACTCCCACTGGCGATGTGTGATTCCACCGAGAGCAGGGCGCGTCGTAGCACGCCTTGGTTTTGATTTCCCTGAAAAAAGAGCGCTGGCCCTAGCATCGCGGGTGGCACTTTGCCAAGGCAGCGGAAGCCAAGAAAACATGACTCTACAATTGCAATAACGAGATGTAAACAAGTTGAGATGGCCGAATGCTCGGTCACCAGCGGTAGGGGTCGTTGCTGCAAGCGAACTGGCGGCCATCGGAGAGCCTCCCAACTGCGGAGTTCTGCAGATTATAGCCGAAGCTGGCATTCATCTTCCAGGTAGCCGCAGGTCGACAGACAGTGGCCTGTCGGAAGAAATCTGATCGAGGCATTGCCGAAGTGCACTGTCGGCGATGCACCTGTAGGCAGCAAAACATCATGTAATTACCGCAGATGCAATATTGAGTTTAGTCACCCGAAATCGTGATTACTTCCATGCCATGTTCTTGCTCCCCGCATGCTGCTGCATGATCGCATGCAGCCACCGCTGCCTGGGCAAAGCCGCGTCGACGCGTCGCCAAAGTGGGCAGGGTGCCTTGGTAGCCAAAGCTTAACCTTCGACTTCGACACTGACCCTAAACCCTAAACCCTAAACCCTAAACCCTAAACCCTAAACCCTGAACCCTGAACCCTAAAACCCTAAACCCTAAACCCTAAACCCTAAACCCTAAACCCGGATCCACTACGAGCAGTTGGGGAAAGTGGCCCCGCGGCTGCGGCTGCAGCTGGAGATGTGCCTCAGACTGCGTTGCTTTTTTCTTCAAAAGCTTCGTGGTTGGGCTGTTCCCCCTTCTACGAACAGCCCTCAATTGGCATTTTAAAAACAGGGGGGGCACCATACTATACTCCCTATGAAGGACTGTGAGTATTTCGTGTGCATCCCGCGGCCAAGACCTCCCTGAGTTGCTGGCCGAGGGCACCCTGAGGCAACAAGACCTCAGGTGTGCAGTCCAAGCAGTCAGGGGTCGGTCGTCGGCGCTCCTTCACCCCCTTCCCTCCGTTGGGGATGCTTGGACTCCCGAAACCCGAAACCCGAAACCCTGAACTCTAAACCCTCAACGTTAAACTCTAAACCCGAAACCCCAAACCCTAAACCCTAAGCCCCAAACCCTACACCCTGTTGGCTTTCATGGTTCCAGGCGCCCGGGCCGGGCGCCGGCCACCATCGATGGGAGCGGTGCTCATCACGCTTGGTGGAGGTAGGGCGCCCTGACATGACCACCCACATGTATATAAGCAAGACTGCTGCATCATCCGCCATCAACCCCATGAGGAGCCAACCGCCGGCTTTCCCTGTGCTGGCATCCAGTGCGCCTGGCCAAGGCTTGTGGTGCAGCAGCTTCAATCTGATGCTGCTGGCCATCCTTCACCCTTCTGCGGGGCGAACAGAGGGCTTACAAATTAGACCTACCTAAACCCTAAGCCCTAAACCCTAAACCCCATCAATGGAACTCTGTAAAACTGCTTGGGCCTTTTGCCTCTTGTTGGGCGGACGGCAAGGCTGGTATTCAACCAGACGTTGTGAGGGAGAGAGAGTTACGGATCCGTCCAGAAGTGTGCCGTAGCATTCCGCATACATTCACAAACTACATATACACATGTTGTATAGATATATGTATATAGATATACATATATATGTACATGTTCATATTTATGTATTTAAAAAATAATGAATAAAAAATGACAAAACGCATAAATAAGTACATACATAAATAAATAAACAAATAAATTAAATGAATAAACAATGAATATATTTATATCTAAATACAGAAATATATAAGTATATATATATATGTATATATATATATGTGCACATGTAAATCTATAAATATGTAAAAATATAAAGATATAAATGCATTAAAAAAATTTGATAGATATAGAAAAGTATGTAAATATTTGAATATATAAACATATAAATATATAAATATGTAAATATGTAAATATGTAAATATGTAAATATGTAAATATAAATATATAAGCATGCGGCGTTGTAACCGTATCTGGTTTCTGCTACTTTTCTTGGGTGGGGGGGGAATAGGAACGTCATGCATATTGCATGCATGCCAAATACACTGGTATTTACAGCGTTTTCGCCTCTTTGTACAACATACTGCACAAGGATGTGGAAGAAGAAAACCTGTCACAAGCGTCCAGCCTTTCACGACCATGCCCAACACACGTCCCACAAAAACCGTCAAAGTCCTGAAATTTGGCAAATGCGTTTTCGGAAATGCAAGCCTCCAAAAAACACAGCTGCAGAGGCTGTCTTGGCAGAAATGCATGAAAACATCGCAAATTACAGTGTTTGCCGCGCGTGCACACAGCAAAGCTGTGAGACTCGCGTCACGACTGCACACACAGCACAGGAAAAGTCCCAGAGCGCTCAAGGCCCCAACAACAAAACGACCCGAAAATCTTGCAAAAACCCACCAACGTTTCGCAAAAACGACTTACAAAATCACGCCTTTCCAAAACCTCCCAAAATAGGCATGTCGCCTAGGCGAAACGCTAACTTTCACCGAAAATAGGGTACGGTTTCAACGGCGGCGGGATGTATAAGTATATAATATATCAATATAGCAATATCTCAATACATCAATATTTCAATAATACATACATTATATATATATATATATATTGGGTTTTATATTTATATTTCTTCTGTATACATATCTCTGAGAGCTGGCCTCCGGTCCATTAGGGACTCGATGGTCCGGTGCCAGGTTGTGCGCATGTTGGGCCTCAGTCCGCCCACATCTACGGAGGTCGATATGGGGGGGGCTTACGGGGTTTAGGGTTTAGGGTTTAGGGCTTAGGGTTTTAGGGTTTTAGGGTTTTAGGGTTTAGGGTTTCGGGTTTTGGGATTTGGGGGTTTCCGAAATTATATAGAGGGTACCTTATTGCCTATTTTCCAAGGTGGCTGGGGTCTGCCCTGTGTCCATTGCATGAAGACAAAACCTCAACCTCCACTGGGTTTCGGGTTTAGGGTTTAGGGTTTAGGGTTTAGGGTTTAGGGCTTAGGGCTTAGGGCTTAGGGCTTAGGGTTTTTTTCCCACCCGGGTTTAGGGTTTAGGGTTTAGGGTCTAGGGTCTAGGGTTTAGGGTTTAGGGTTTAGGGTTTAGGGTTTTTTTTCTAGGGTTTAGGGTTTAGGGTTTAGGGTTTAGGGTTTAGGGTTTAGGGTTTAGGGTTTAGGGTTTAGGGTTTAGGGTTTAGGGTTTAGGGTTTAGGGTCAAGCTCCACTGCATCCAACAAGGGAAGAACGCCGCTGTAGGGCACTTGCTTGCTCCGAGCGCTGCAACTGATGCTTCCGACTTGACGTGAGTATTGCTTGCCAACCCGAATGGAAAAATCCGGGCACGGCAGCGACCCTTTGGGTATCTGGTGCGGACCAGGACGGGCTATTACACCCTATAACCCCTGAAAAAGGCCCTCTATAGGGTTGAATGTGGGGATTATAGGGCCTAATTGCCCATCCTGGCAATTGGAAGGCTCGGATTCCAATTTCTTGTGCTCTCACGAGACCAAGAACACGAAGGGCCAGGAGGCAAAGCCGTGTTTAAGCCATTTAAGCCGCCTGCCAGAGATTATGCGAGCTCGCACGATCCAAAGCTGGGAAGCTGACTTGCAGGGCGTGGGCCTGCATGGATTGCTCAACCACAGAAGAATTCTGTCCTTGCAGCCCGCAGATCCTCAAGAGGATCTACCAGAGCCTGGTTCCAAGCTGTACAGTGTAGGCCGAGATCTCCAAGAGTGACCACCTTGCCACGGGAACTCGTTGGGGCACCGATTTTGAATCAGCGAGCTGTGAGTTGCAGCTGCATGGCCTGGGAGGATCCATCAGCCCCAGCTGTGGATGCTGGGTGCACTGGCCTTAGATGTTGGGCTGGGGACGGCACATGCAGATATACCCACGCTGTCTGGCTGTGGGCCCCGAGCAACTGTTGGCGGGCATATCCAGCATCTGGCGTCTTCGCCTCCCTCTCCACCTCGGCTGTTTGGTGGGTCGCTTGATGTCGCTTTCGTTGGTACGCAATCATCACATGGACTTTGGGGGCGGAGGGGGGCTGAGGGGGGCGGCGGCAGGCTTGTTTTTCTCCCGGCGCTGTTACAACAGCCCAAAGCATTGAGGCGTGTTCAGCCTATCTCGCAGGGTGACACGCCAGCCAGACACCGGAACTGTGATCCAGCCTTCTGAACTCACACTTCGCCCTCTCGCATGCATCTGCAGCTGCGGGCGGCTAGCACCTGCTGGCGTCGAATACGCCTCCCTGCTGGGAGGAGTTGCCAGGTCTCCCAGAAGAGTGTCCACTGAGTCCTGGCTGAGCCTGGCTAAGCCATTCTCAAGTCACCCAGCGAGTCGCACGGCCTGCCGCAGACGGTCTCCAAAGCATGGCACGGTCCCCTGCTCCAAGACATCGCGCCTCTCGAAGAAGGTCGAGTTGGCGTCGAAGCCCCTGCCTGAGAGAGACATGGAACACGACCAGCGCTCACTCAGGCAGTTGAGCAAGCTCTTCCCCAAAAGAAGGGGTCTTAATGTGCCGCTGCGTCTCGGAGAGCCTTTGGAAAATCCATGAGGGTGACTTTCTCGCCTGAGATGCTGGACATGAGTCCGGCCAGGGAGGCGGGGGGGGGGGGAGGAAGAGCAAGAGAGAGAGAGAGAGAGAAAAAAAAATAATAATAATATAAAACAAATACGCAAATACATTGTCCCCATAGAACCTTGAAGATATTCACAACGCCACGAACAGCATAGCACAGTTCAGCTTCTCTTGGAGCTTCGAAGCCAAGCGTCCGTTTCTGTTCATCTCGAGCCAATGTCTGTGGACCACAAGCAAGACTTCCACGAAGACCTCATCTACTATTTGCTGAAGAACCCCACCCAGAAAACAAGAAAGGCTCTTCCTTATTAGGGGGATTCATACCTTGTGTGCTTATTCTTGGGGGGGTTCTTAAGCAAACAATAATGACAGCACGTAGAAAGCTTGACATGGCAAACCCCCAAACGCCCTGCAACAGGGATGCCTCGTCCAAGACTAAGCGGCAGATGCTGGAAGACATGTCGACCTTGGATAAGTCTGGCGGGTTCTTACCGGCGAATGAGGGAATGAGGTACCCTAGGTAATCCCTTAAAGGGTATATACAGGGCCCTAATTGCCTCATTCCCTACGAAGCATCGGGGGGGGGGGGGGAATTCTGCATGTGCCAGGAAGTTAGGGTTTAGGGTTTAGGAAGTTTTGGGATTTTTTTCACTCCTGCACAGCTGGGGCGAATCCACATCGCAGGGCGATTACGAGGCTTCAACGGGCGTACTACTGTGCAGCCCTCATCCATCTCCCATCAAACAAAAAAAAACCATACACTATAATACCCAGAAACCACACATGAATGCAGGCTGCTCTGGTTTGCTTATTCAGGGGTTCCCTGACCTCTGTCGGCCCACTCCTCCGCTTGTCGGCATTCAAGAAAAGTGTAACACTCAGGTGTTGGGTTTAGGGTGTAGGGTTTGGCCTGAAGGTTGCCCGGGCTCCAAGATTCTACGGTTGCACTGAGCCGCTGTCGAAAGAGTTGTCGTCAAAAATGGCTCCCCCATCAACATTGCGTTTGTGTTCCTGGTCTACGGTCTGCTTATGTATGTGTATACATATATATATATATATATACATATTATAAGATATATAGTAAATATGCAAATGTGTTTTTTACGATTCCACACACACAAAAGAATATACACATATACATAGCTTCTGGACTGCTCGGCACCAAGTGGCATCATTCGCGCTGCACTCTCGGACCACCTGAGTTGCGGAACCATGCGAGTTGTTGAGGGGATGGGGTTGGGCTCAACGGCTCGAACCACCGATTCTTGTGCTGCCTTGGATGAGCCTACCTAAACCCTAAACCCTAAACCCTAAACCCTAACCCCTTAACCCTTTTTACGGCTAGGACTGCTGCACTGCCTGCCTTGCATCCGGACTCCCGTGGGTGCTGCCAGAAACTGCCCAAGCACAGGCTCCCAGTGCTACAGACTGGATTCCCATACCCTAGCAAGCCAATCAACAGGCACAGTCTCAAACATGTAACATGAGGACAAGATGATCATCCCTGCCTGGGACCCTAAACCCCGGACCCTAAACCCTAAACCCTAACGGCCAAGCTTCCAGTCTTGCCAGATTTCGAAGTTGCCGCTTGCTAGCTCGTCGGACCGACCCCAGCGGAGAGACAGAGGCAGAGGTATGGAGGTCGAAGAAAACTGCCTGCGAGCGTCTCAGCTGTTCTGCTGCCACGCACGCCAGGCTGTCTGAACAAGCAGTCTCAGCTTCCGGCAAGCATGTGGGAGATGTTAAAGCAGCTAATCCTCGAATTGTGTCCCATCTAGGTTCAGTCCATGACTTTGCAGGACTGCTCCGGCTACGACGTGCTTACATCTCTACACTCTGCATCTTTCATGCGGCTGCTCTGCAGCCAGGGGTCGCAAACAAATAAAACGATGCTGGGCTTGTAGCCTGCTGCACCTCCCATCGAACATCAACAGTCCCCACTCGTGGCTCGGTGCGAATCGGACGCTTCATGCATGAGCTTCAACTCACAAACACTTTGCCGTGGCCCTTGAATTGTGCAGCTGGGCTGCCATTTCTTGCAGATCCTCAGAAGAATGTGGGATGAAGGGTCACGATGGCCTTGTATTCATTGCAAACGAGCTCCTTTAGCCAGAGCATTGCACTGATAGCTAGACATGTGACTCGCGGCCGGTGTCGAGCGAAGCTCGCCTTGATTGCAGCGGACATTGACAAAGCCCGGAAAGTTGTTGTTTAGGGTTTAGGGTTTAGGGTTTAGGGTTTAGGGTTTAGGGTTTAGGGTTTAGGGTTTAGGGTTTAGGGTTTAGGGTTTAGGGTTTAGGGTTTAGGGTTTAGGGTTTAGGGTTTAGTTTTAGGGTTTAGGGTTTAGGGTTTAGGGTTTAGGGTTTAGGGTTTAGGGTTTAGGGTTTAGGGTTTAGGGTTTAGGGTTTAGGGTTTAGGGTAACTCCCACCGACCAACACCATCTTGTCCGACGTGTTGCCAGCTGCTCCAGTGGCCACGCCCCCGTTCGAACATCTGTGGCAGGGTCCAGGCCCTGGAATCCGAGCTTCTTCCAATCTGAGTGTGTGCACAGTATGGGGTGTTTTGATACAAGGGTTTTCCAGAATGCGGGTACCCTTTTCCGGAGGTTCCATTGCAAAGGGGGTTGGATCGCACGTCAGCCGATAACTGGCGGCGGGGGAGGGGAGAGGCGGCAGAAGGGTCCGACAAAATTAAGGACGCGGCGAGCGCCTTTTACAAAAGCCTCGGCTTTCTCTTCCGGGAAGGCGCTGTTCCAAATCTCCAGCACCTATCAAAACTGCACGCCATGGCGTGAAATGTCTATGCATGTCTTTGTGTGCATCTATAGACACAGTCATATTTTCATGTTATAATAAATCAAAAAACATCTATATCCATTTATTTATGTTGCTCATACAATGTGTAGATATATACACACACTCATGCACTTATACGATTACCAGAAACACCATTTGTATGAACTTACAAACAAATGGCATGTAGTAAATTGTATGCTATCCGTGCACGGGAACATGCCAGAGTGAGAGTAGTATGTTATAATACATACTCTTCCGTGTACAGTCTCAAAACGCACAGCCTGCCAGGACCCCCGGCCGCCTGACCTCCCTCAGTCCAAGCCTTACCCACAACGTGTACCGGCCGCCTTCCGTCCCCCAACTTCTTCCCCCCCCCCCCAGCCCTCCCAACGGATCCCTGACCTTTCGCCTCTGTCCCCCAACCCCCCCCCCCCCCCCACCCATCCTCCTCATCAGGAACAGGCATTGCTCCAACCCTCAGAGCAAGGGCTTCAAAGGCCCTCTTCTAGGGGCGTTGAAGGTTTTGGAGCTGTGGAGGCCTTGGAAACCCTGCAAATGCTAGAGGCCATACAGCTCCCCGAAATTTTACTTCTCTACGTCGTGGCACAGTTTGAAAAGCCGCGTTCGTTTCAAGGAACCCAGCTAAGATTGCGGATTGAGCGTATAAACTAGGGCTTCAGATTCTCCTTGTCCGACCCCATGGGCTGAATACTCTCAGCTGGTTTGGTTTTTGAACTCAGTGGCTTCTAGACTAAAGACTTGCACCCACATGTGTCTAGTATAAATATAAATATTAATATTAATATTAATGTAAATATAAATATAAATATAAATATAAATATATATATATATAGATATAGATATAGATATAGATATAGATACATGCATGTTCACGCACATACATGCATGCATGCATACATACATAAATAACCACAGACATACATGAATACCCACATTAAATAAATGAATAATGTGCATATATATATATATATATACATATACTAACTCGCCTATACATGCCGCGGCCCCTGACCTGCTTGTGAAGTTCTGCTTCTTCTGGCTTCGGACTGTTGACCACCTGAGCTCTCCCCACGACGGTGGTGAGAAGGCTGGGAAAACTAAGTTTCAGCCAAACGACTTGACGCCGCATATGCCATACCTCTTCTTCACACGAAGGCGTCTAACGATCTAGGAACCTAGACATGGACAGCGCGCTGCAGTGACTGAAGAAATTAGCAAAAATGCTGTCAAGTTATAGACTTAGAGAGTACCTGCAGTCTTCCCCACTCCCTGGTTACAGGATCTCTTCATCGGCTTGGAGCTGCTCTGGCTGCATGATACAGGGGCCGATTTGATTCGAGTGGGATTTGCGGCCAGTGTATTCTGGAGATATATGGGGGTATCCGAAATTTGGGGTACCTTATTGAGGTCCTTATTTGGGGACTCTATTCGGGGTCCCTTATTCTCGTAAATGGGTAATCTACTACCGTTGCTTCAGCGGCCCTGCCCAGTTGCTGCATCGCGCTCGTGGTCGGTCAACACTGCCGTGTATCGTGGGCCCACGCAGAAAATGCAGCGGTCGCAGAAAGATTTCTGATCCTCTTCGTGTCGAGGACTGGCGTATGAGATCAGCCCGTGCTTTGACATCACGCTGGCACACTGCGCCTCGATGTGTGGCTGCTCGTTAGTTCTGCCCTCTTCCTTACTCAGACAAGCATGCGGTTTTTGCTGTAGCAGAAACCATGTACACGTGGCGTGTTATCAGAGAAGACTCTCTTCAACCTTCCTGTGCACATGAGCCATGATCAATCCGAGGCACCATCAGCCGCTCTGCTTCCATGGCCCCGACAGGAAGTGACACAAACCGCTGGAGTATCACTGCGGCTAGTCACAAGGGGGCTCCGCTCTTCTTGCGAGCAGTCCACACAACATCACCTGCCTCAAAATACACCCTTCCTGCTGCAACTATGGATTTTGCTAGTCATTGCACTGTCAGCGACCTTCTGCGAAGCTGTGCGATGGCTGGGTGCTTTGATGTACTGCACCCCGGGCCATCTGCCTGTTTACTCTACCCTCATTTTCCGCAGTGGGGGAACCTTAGGGTTTAGGGAACCTTAGGGTTTAGGGAACCTAAGGGTTTCGGGTTCAGGGTTTGGGGGTGACTTATGCGGCTTGCTGACGAACTGCGACTTGCTCTCACTCGCTGCTCCCCTTTCGGCTCGTAAGTTGAAGCCACAACAACAGCCCCTGGAGAGACAACAGCTTTCAATGTTTCAACAATAAACCGAGCCACAGTTCGGTGCATGGGGCGACTAAGCAAGCTGTAGGAGTTGCAAACGCAAACTTGACACGGCAGCCCCTTCTGGGAAGGGTCCATGCGTTTGCAGACCGAGCGCCCCACACGTGAGGTGCCGTCCCGGACTTTCTTCGGTGGCTTTTGCTTCTTGCCACTGCTGCTCTTGGCTTCAAACTTCTCTGCCTGCCAGAGAAGACGTGGTGCAAGCTGCTCTAGCATTGACAGGTGCTGGCACGATCTGCGCAGGAGGCGGCCGTATTCTAGTACAAGTACATATGACATAGAAGCAAAGTTGCAGACACCATCGCATAACAAAGAAAACGCAATGTCAGCATGTGAATGGCCTTGGGGGGCGGTTCCAAGTGGCTGGGCAACCAGTTGTCGTCGACGAGAGTCTGGCCACAATCCAGTGATGTTTAGTCAACTTTGGTATTTGGGCAGTGGGCCCGGAACTATGTCTTCTTCCAATCAACATCGAGACTTGCGAGGCTCTCAATTCATACACAAACGACTATTCGGGCAATGAGGGTGAGCAATGCTTTGGCGATTTTGATAAACCGATTGATCGATCTGACACAAATGGCTGCTTCGGCTGCCTTGCCAGTAGCGGCTATTCATTCAAGAGTCCCACGCAGACGCAGGGCTTGCCAAAACACTTAACACGTTGCTGCTTGAGCTGTTATGCCCTTATCCTTTGGCTGGAACTCAGCGGGTGGTGCTGGCATCTACTAGCATCTACATGCCGCACTCGGGGAATTGGGCCGTGAAACACGCAGCCGCGGTGATCACTCAAGCATCGTCGTGATGTTTTGGCTGGAGAAGTTGGAAATGTTGAGGAGCTGTTCTTCGAGGACATGGACTAAGGCGGTGAGCCGTCGCTCCTGGCGGAGAATGAGTGTATTTGGCACCGCATGCAACCCAGCGCTCCATTGCCCGCCCAAGTGACTTCAGAAAAGCTCAGACCTAAACTCTAAACCCCACTTTTGAACGAACGGTCCTTCTCCTGCAGCCCATGAATGTTGTGTTCTTCTCCGACCACGGACACCGCCAGGATCGTCAACAAAACCAGCGCGGTGCCTCCAAGCCGGAATCGGAAACCTGACATGAAAATTCATAATATTAATATTCATAATTCATACATAATATTAATTTTACTAATCTCTCTCTCAGAGGCAAGGCAACTAATACTATAAATATTTGCTTCTCAGCTCCACTCTGCAGAATCACTGCTGGCCGAGGTCCTTGCGTCTTTCTTGGGCTTCCAGCTGCTGTTTCAACAGGTTGCACTCGTCTCGCCACTCCATTGCTGAGACCTGCGGATCTCAACACGCGCTTGCACACAGCAAACTCTAGCACGCGAAAGAGGACGGGGCTGTCTTGCCTGCATGTTCTCGGTGTCTCTAGACAACGCAGATGTAGCTGAGGCACGCCGGGAAGCCTCAAGGCCATGATGTTGAGGAGACGCTTCTCGCATGGAGCATGTTGACTGGTGGCCACTTCCTGCACGGCCGCAGCGCAGAACGAAAGTATGAAGATGCCATGACCTCGAAAACTCCCTGAGCAAGCCACGGTTTCATTGGCAGTCTCCATGAGAAATCGAACACTCCGTTCGGATGCCCTTCGTTCTGATGATGTTGGAGACTTGTCCTTGCAAACGTCACGATGGCACGCCAAAAGCAAGCAGGAGACTGACATGTAAGTCCCGCCTGCGATGAGACGGGTGTTCGGACAACGTCCTCACATTTGCAACAGTAAACACTTGGCAACTTCAGACCAGAATGGTGAAGCAATGTCCTGCATTGCCGCTCTGCATATGGCGCGCTTGCGAAGGTGCTGCTCAAAAAATCGTGAGCTCTAAACCGCCAGTATGGCGAGCTTTGACTGTTACTAAAGGGATGCATGCAAAATAACAGGCTACTGTGGGTCAAGCCAAGCATTTGTAAAGCATCGGCATTGGCATCCTACGTGGTTAACACGAATGTGTCCAAATATGCCGGCATGCATTTGTCGAAATGCCTGGGTTGAGCCTCTAATAATCCAACCTGCCACGTGCAATGCGGGCATTCGTACGCAGGGTTACCATCAACGATCTGCGCAATTTGCTCGGACCTCCTCGTCGTGGATGTCGCACCAGGCCCTGATCCGCACAACTTCCACAATCCCCTCCATCTCAGTGGCCCGTGACCCCTTTCACTCCACCACGCACGTGTATAAGGTCCGAACACAGACCCGCGTTTACCTACAGGAAGGACAAGCCTCAATCGGCAGTTGGTTGCATGCCGCTTCAATACAAAAACGGCATCATATGTGGGGGTGCGAAGGCACGGACTTCTCATCGGACTTCGGCTCTTGGCTTGTAGCCTTCAGCCACACGTGGGGGTTTAAGGTTTAGGGTTTAGGGTTTAGGGTTTGGGGTTTGGGGTTTGGGGTTTGGGGTTTGGGGTTTGGGGTTTGGAGTTTGGTGGTTCAGACTCTGCTTTGCTTGGATGGCACGGCCCTGTGCCTCTGGTTCGGCACGCCGTGGCCTCGGTTCGGACATCTTTCTTACAAGGCCCCTTACCAGGGACTAACCATAACCATGCACTACGCAAGCTGTAACACGTGGGATATTCCCCCTTGTACCAACAGTCCTGGATAGGGATTATAGTAGGGGGTACTATAATAATTATTAAGGACTGCTAGTATAAGGGGGAACATCCCAATGTAAAACGAATATACTGCAGACTGACTTGCATTTAGGGCCAGGCGTTCCGGCATCCTGGTCGGATAACGCCTGGGTCAACCATCTTGGCCATACCACAACGCAGCACACAGCAACTCAGACCGCTAAGACTTGCACGTCCAATGTTTGAGACAGCTGACAATGTTCTTCCACCTGCAGGTTCTTTGTGTGTAAATCGTTTCATTACACCACATATGATCACAGAGGGTATCATAGGGTCACATGGGGTCAAGTGGGTGCCTGCGACCCAGTTGATGCGCAAGACATGGCTGAAGGCGTGCAGCTTTCAGGCCTAAGAGGAGGCCATTTATGGGTTTAGGGTTTAGGGTTTAGGGTTTAGGGTTTAGGATTTAGGGTTTAGGGTTTAGGGTTTAGGGAACTCGCGCGAGTATGGTGAACACACAAATTGGGCTCAGTGCAACTTGACTCCAGCCTGCTTGCGGTCCGGACCTGCTGACAGGGTGTAGTGACTCGGGTGATGTCTGCACCTCAACATCGCAGCAGAACGTCCCAAGCTCAATGCCGGCCATCTGCTCAGCTTCGACTTGACCTGAGGCTGCATACTACAACAACGCGCCATCTTCTGCCATGCCAAGAAAACAAGCACCTGGCCAAATCTTTTCGTTTGGTTGCCACAACCCCCTCTACTTGAGGAGAGGTGTCTGAACCAAGCCACGGCGTTCATCCACAAAAACATGAAGCAATCGCGCATTGCAAACAGATGTTTTGCAAAGGTGACTTGTGGTTTCCTGATGTGTTCTTGTCGTGCCTTCCGGCTCCTTGGTCAGGAGACTTCTCCAAAGGCCACAGCTCAAAACTACTTATCTGGGTCCTTAGGCGCATGAGGTGTTGGGGGTTCTTGAATAATTGAATGGCAAAAGGAAGAGTCCCTGTTGTCCGGAGACAAAGGACCTTCCATGTATTTCTATTTGGTTGCCAGTCTGTGGCTGGCGTGCTTGCGCACGAATCACTAGAAAAAGCGCCCTAAACCCTTTTAACCCCTGGGCTGAGGCCGGGACGTGCGTATCATCCATTCACAGGCAGAAGAAAAGAACACGAACAGAAGTTCCCCATCAGCACTGGTGACTGCCAAGGAACTACACATTGGGTAGGAGCCCCGCCAGGCAATGCAGGAACTCACGACAACAGGACAAAGCAAGGAGACACTCCAACCATGCACTCATGACACGGTCAAGAGTCTCACTTCACAAGCCACTCACCCAAAATTATCCCGAAGAAAAGGGAGAGAAAATGCTTGCAAAGGTGATGCAAAGCGCGGACTACCTGCTAACACGAATACCAATCTGTCTGTCACACCTCAATCAACAGAACTGCGAACCATACTGGGTTTGGTCGGTCTGGTCGTGGATTCTCCTTCCCAGGCCCGGCTTCGTTGTTCGCGCCGCTGCTGTTTGAGCCTCATGCGTTCTGCATCATGTTGCTCTCGCAGTTCCTGCAACGTCGAAGACTGAGCAGGACCATTGGCCCGATGCATACCGCCGCTTGCCGTAGCAAACTCATTGGCAATACCTGGACCCGTGCTAATGTTGACATCATGCTGGATGGGCACATTGGCTTCTCGCTCAGCAGTCAGCCGACAAACATCATCTTGAAGTTTCGTGATGAGGTTATCTTGCATCAACATTGTCTCTCGCCACTTCTCCGCGGCCGCCTCGAATTGACATTGCAAATTTTGCATGATTTGCTCGCACTGTGCTCTTGTGATGATTTCTGTCTCTGTTTGGGTCTCCACATCATGGGCCATGGGAACGTCGTCCATTACCCTATCACCAGAAGATCGGCCAGCATCCGCTTGCACGCCTTCATCTTTGGTGGGTACAAGGGCGTCGAATATGGAAATTGTTCGCCGTATATCAGCACTCCTGGAATGAAGGTGGCAAGCGCTGGGGCACTGCATCCTCAAGGCTTGCAGGGCTGCATTCAAATGATTGCTGAGCGCAGGAACATTCAACTCACGAGAAGTTCGCCAGGCGTACCCGATGCAGGAGATCAGCCGCTTGTGCTTCATAGCTGGATGGCGAGTGACTGCATCTAATTTGGCTGCCAAGTAGGCCTCGTAGCAAAATGGCTTGAGCCACCCTAAACCCTAAACCCTACACCCTAAACCCTAAACCCTAAACCCTAAACCCCCCTAAACCGTGGTTGATGGGACAACTTCGGAGTCTTGCACGGTTGGGGTGGCAATGGGTGCGGTCTGGGTCGGGTTGGTGGAGAAGGTCAAAGGTGGGAGAGCGAGCGCCTGGAGTCGATTGTGACTCTAACTGGCCATCTCTCTGCAACGCTGCACATGATCTGCACCGACATGTTGCATATGTCAGAGAAGCTGCACCACATGCTGGGCCAGTTCCATCATGCTCCAAGTTGTTCCAACCATGCCGTAAATCTTCCCCATGCTGCACATGGTGCACATGTTTCACGCCATTCAGACCATGTTCGGAATGCCTGAAGCAACAGCAAGGATGTACCATGTACGTCGTGTGGTTTACACGATGTCGCGAACGATCACTGCTCTGCGGGTACATGGTTTTCGGGTCCGCCGGGAAATGAGAACGTGGTCGACATGTTACAAGCATTGCCATGTGACGAAAGTTTGGCCTTTGAATCTGTTGGCTGTTTGAGGGGGTTGTACTTGATATGGCGACTGCACGCTCGTTTTAAGTCTCCGTCGGGTTTTGCCTGTCGTGTCTTTTGTTGCACTTGGTTCTCGGGCTGTAGTGTTGGTACTTGTAGCTGCTTGGTTGGAAGGTTTCCTGCACGGATGATTCTAGGCTGCTAAATGTGCTCTATGGGTTTTCCGAACCCCACCACCAGTCGACCTCAGGAGATAAGTTTTGCTTGAGAAAATAATAACAATAAGAATAACAGGAGTAGTAAGAATAAGAAGAAGAAGAATAAGAAGAAGAATAAGAATAATGATAAGAAGAATAAGAATAAGAATAAGAATAAGAATAAGAATTAGAATTAGAATTAGAATTAGAACTAGAACAAGAATAAGAATAAGAATAAGAACAAGAGTAAGAATAAGAATACGAATAAAAATAAGAATAATCATAGTAACAATAATTCACAGCCTCCTGCAAAGACGGCGTCTAGTTGCATCGCTTCTGGGCCAAGCAGGATGGGCCGAGATGCATCGAAAAAGCAGCAAAGTCCGTGCGAAACCGCCTTGCACCGTGTGAAACCAAACGCCGTGCAAAATCGTGCCGAAGCCCGGCGGCCTCAGATGCTGCAACGTCATCCGCCGGCATCACAGAATTTAGCATTATTCAAGGAAACGAGCACCCACAGGAACATCAAAACAAGGACATCTCGAACTTTCACGACGAATGGGGCTAGGCCGCGAACCCTCAACTCTGAATCCTTAAAAAAGGCGAAAGAAACGCTACACCAGATCAAGCCCCGGCCCAAGCTTGGTGCAGGAGGGGCGTGTCCAGAGACTCGGCCTGGGTTCAGGGAGCTAGGTGAAGCAACGCCCATCCCCCGCATGCCAGTTGACGATAGCAGGACAAGGAAGCAAGCACTCCTGCAAGAGTCTTTGTCTTCTCTGGGCGATTGCCTTGATATGATTCAGCGCGAGAAAAAACAAAAAGCTGCATCTAGTTTGAGCCAGCTTTGCTTACAACGGTGTAAAGGGATGTAAAGGGATGTATAGGGTCAAGCTTCTTTGAAGCCCGCCATAAATCAATCTAATGCCGGACCGGGAAAATAAATTGTCTAAATCCTGCGCTTGTTTAACCCGGGCCAAGGGAAAATTATTGGCCGGAAGCTGGTCCGGATTTTGGCCCTTCGCGCCACGCACAATCGTGGCTTCTAGCTACACTTCCAGGAAGTCAGAATACACCTGTACATCGGGATGCAGGTCACTTCCAGACGTGGCCGTATCTTCAGGAGCATCTGCTTGTCCGCTGGTCTGTCCACTGGTCTGTCCACTGGTCGGCACTGGAGGCCGCATGAAGTATTTGTATCCGACAAGCACGGCGCCCAGGCATGTCCTGACAGAAGGACTATCGAGAAGTTGGGGTGTTGAGGGCGGTCACAGGACGTCAGGGTTTGGGTGAGGCTCGAAAACAAGGCGTTTTTTGGAGTTTACAAGTGTCTGAGAGATTCTGAGGGCCCCACATCCCCCCAACCATGGCAAGCGCGATTCCCAGCCCATCAGCTCCAGACACGGCCGGCGCTGCCCTTTCCGGCGGTGGCGTGATGGTCGTGGCTGTGCTCGTCGTAGACAAGGACGTGGACACGCTCGTGCTGGTGGCCGTAGAAGTGCTTGACGACGTGGAAGTACTCGTGCCGGTGGAAGTGCTGGTCGATGTCGACGTGCTTGTCGACATGGACGTGCTCGCCGACGTGCTTGTCGAAGTGGAAGTACTCGTGCCCGTGGAAGTGCTCGTCGACGTGGACGTGCTTGTCGACGCGCTCGTCGAAGTGGCCGTGCTTGTCGACGTGGCCGTGCTTGTCGACGTGGCCGTGCTCGTCGACGTGAATGTGCTTGTCAACGTGGACATGGTCGTCGACGCGGACATGCTTGTCGACGAGGACACGCTGGTCGACGATAAAGTGTGTGTAGACGTGGACGTGCTTGTCGACGTGGCAGTACTCCTCGACGTGGATGTGCTTGTCGACGTGGCAGTTCTCGTCCACGTGGACGTGCTTGTCGACCAGGACGTGCTTGTCGAAGAGGACGTGCCTGTCGACGTGGACGTGCTCGTCGACGTGGACTTGCTTGTCGACGCGGAAGTGCTTGTCGACATGGACGTGCTTGTCGACGTCCATGTGCCTGTCGACGTCCATGTGCCTGTCCTCGTCGTGGAACTGGTGATTGTGGCCGATGTGGATGTAACGGTTGCGAACCCCGTTATCCAAACGCCCGTGCGACCCTCCGCAACGGCTGCCATCGCGGATCCATCTGCGGACATGCCGACGGCATACCAATCTGCCTGGGGAAGCAGCAGATTATTCCATGCCGAGCCGCCATCCATGCTCACCCAGATCTCGGCATCAAAACCAACAATTCCCCTGGCCGTGGGGCAATTGACCGCAGCCATTGTCCCGCCATCTTCGGAGATGCTCACCGAGGTCCAGTACATGCTACCGACGGACCCAGGATTCTCGGTAAAGGATGTCCCATCATTGCTGACAAAGATGACGCCGGTGCTCGAAGATGTCCGAAAATCGGTTGCGATGATCTTGGATCCGTCTCCAGACACACTCACCCCCACCCACTGGTGAATATGCCCGCTTGGAGGGCTCGAGCTTGCGCCTGCAGCTGCAGTCCATGGGGAACCATTCCTGCTTGTATATATTTCGGCAAGTAAAGAAGCCGCATGAAGTGTAGCCACAACAATAGTGGATCCGTCTCCGGAGATGCCCACCTGGTCCATCGTATAAGTGGTTCCAAAATATGAGTCTTGAGTCCACGTAGTGCCACGATCGCTGCTGGTAAAAACGTTGGTGCTGCCTATCGCAGCCATCTGGAACCCGTCTCCGGACATGCTCATATAAAGGTAACTGTATGAAAAGTCTGGTAGGTTACCCCACGTTGCGCCACCATCGTCACTGATGCGGAAGTTGCCAGACCCTGAGCCAGCAAGAGCGGCCATTTTCGATCCATCTCTGGAAACGCCGATGCTGCCCCTACCCCACCACATGTTGAAGCTCGTCTCTGTCCACTGGGTTCCGGCATCAACACCGACCCAGACACTGCCGGTATCTTTTGGGAGCAAAGCGATCGTAGATCCATCTGCGGAGACACGCACATGACCCCATTCCGGCGCTGAGCCTCCTACCTCCATTTCGGTCCATGATCCACCTGCGCCAACCGCGCAAAGCAACACGAGCACTGGGAACATCCTCCGAATGCGAAACGTGGGACGCCACCTATCACGTTATGCTTGGGCCAAACTGCACACCGGACAAACTTTCTCGGCTGCCAGCTGCCAGCAAACGTGGATAGTTATGGCTTCTGTTTGGCAAGCCCATGCATGTATCCCGGAACCTCCACGTCAAGGACGCTGGCTTAGCACAGCTGCCCAGGGCTCCAAGCTTCACCTTAGGGAATCCCGAAGGCCATCGAAGCCGCAAAACATCCATCCCTGCAGGTCTTACATGGAAGCTCCTTTGGCAAAATAACAAAAGGCGTCAGACGCTGCCATCACGGCCTATTGGCAGAACGTGCATGAGCATGCCTTCCAGGATCAAAGCAAACAAAGCACAAAACAGTGTGCTCCTACACTGAGCCCCCGGAGTTATCGGCGTGCACGCCATTCCGGTTCGCGCTGAGCACTCGAGCCTGCTTTGTTTTTTGCTCAGAGGCTGCTTGCCGTGACGGAGGACGGAGGCCAACCCGGGCGCTCCCCTCCGCCCCCCCAAACGGCCTGCTGCCTTTCGCGCACCTGCTCTATGGTCAGCCCATCCTCGACGACTGCTATGATGGTCAAAACTATTTCTTGTTTCTTTTTACTATCTTTAATGCTCAAGATTCAAAGTGCCATAATGTTGTATCATGATTAGTGTACTCCCCCGGAGTTGTGAAAAAAAACCAAAAATCATTCAGGGGGGTCTATTTGAGGAGGTCCCCCGGCATTGTGCCAAAACAATCGGGCGATGCAAAATTTCGGCGAGGCTGCTGTCTAGAAATCGCTTCTGAACTGAGCCGAAGAGAGACCAATGATCAAAGGTCTAAAGCCTGAAACCTTGAGGCCTGAGGTTGTCGGGCCCTGAAATCTTCAGTCTCCAGGCCAGCCCCAAAACTAAGATATCCTTATTAAACTCTTGTGTACCGAGGCCGGGCAATCAAATTTCAAAGGGGGTAGTCCAGCAACTGCCCGAATGCCGTATAAAATAAAAGTTTGCTCCCCGGGAATTACAATTTTGTTTGGCGGCCTGGCTTGGTTGGGATAGATGGACCCCCTTTCAATTCATGTAAATTCACCCCGTTTGAAACCATGTGGATCCCTTTTGACATCATGTTCTTCCTTTTTAATTCATACAGTCTCACCCCCTTTAAAA